AATATCCCATTTCTGGGATGAATTCTACAGTGGCCCAGATCTTCAAAAAAAAAAAAGAAAAGAAAATCTGACCCCAGAGAAAGCTTTCTGTCTTTTAACCTCAAAGCCAAAGCTTTTTAGGTGTGTCTTTATATCTAAATAGGTCATGCTGTTTGGCTGTCCTGATGGACGGATACGTCTCTTGAAACCGGCTGAAAGAAACCAAACAAAAGACAGAAACTGCTAGAGGTGGGATTCCTCAGAGCACAGGGGGACGGGTTGTGTCGGTGTGTGTGCTCGAGCATGTTTCCCTTCAGACTCAGGTTCTCCCAGTGAGGAAGCTTTCCACTTGTTATCTAAGCTGCAGATTTATGCAGGAGCTCGTTTTTTGCCATTATAATCAGGAAGCAAATGGGAACGGCAAAGTGATAGAGGTTTTTTAAAAGCCTTCTACAATTCATGTAACAGCGAGGTAGAAAAGGGGGCGCTGTTTGGTTAGTGCGCACGCCTCATGTATGGAGGCTGTAGTCCTCCAAGCGGGAGGACCCAGGTCCAGATCCGACCTGTGGCTCTTTTCCCGCATGTCGTTCCCTACTCTCTCTCTCTCTCTCTCTCTCCCTCCCTGATTTCCGACTCTATCCACTGTCTGATCTCTCCAATAAAAAAAAGGCACCAAAAGCCAGAAAAAAAAGCCCTCAAAAAACGGAGGTAGAAAGACGGTGAAATATGGTCGTTAGAAATATAGGACATGAAAATCCTCCCCTACAAAGATGGAGGATAGAGCAGGGATTGTTTGAGGAAACACACCTGCTCCACAGCTTTGAAGAGCAGATGAAAGCATGTCCTCTGATTACAGCACTTGGAACAACACAAATGTCAGTCTCACTCCCCCCCACCTCTTTTATCTATCATATGTAACATTACTGACACACTCTTTGGAAGTGTTCCTCAACAATTGTCTTATTTCTTTTTTTTCTTAATGCTGTGCAATGAAGCGTTCACTACATCTCAGCTCTGCTCCCGTGTGTGGTTAGGCGATGAAATCTCAGTTTTGCTAAAGAGGCCGGGACAGGAGAGGAGAGGGGGGCAGTGACCAAACTCTTCCTTTTCTATTTGAAACACGACGTCTCTGACTGCTTCATTTTGCCATAAACACGTCAGAACAGATGAAATGGATTCATAAACTGCATGCGAGCGTGTTTAATGAAATGCCAGTGTGATAGGAGTAATTGAATGTCTGCTTGTTATTATGAACATCTGCAATTATCACAATGAAGGGAGGAGGAGAGCCAAATGATATTAAACTGCACCTACTCTCAATCAGTTTCTGTCTTATATTGTAATTTGGAGTAAGATGGATGTAAATGGCTGTACAGTGATGCATGAGTAAGGACAGAAATGCTTCCGTCCCTGCAACAGTGAACTCAAGAAATCCCAAATCACCAAACTCGTGCGATCCAGCTCCGGCAGAATGGAACAATGCGTGAGTGTCATCTTTTATTCACAAGGCTAACTCATGAGGAATTAAAGTGACATTATCTAAGAGCTGTACATCGTGAGCTGGACAGCATGTTAATCTCTATCTCAGATGATGTGTTGTCATCTACAACGTTTAGAAATAGCATTGTAAGAAGAAGTCTCTGAATCTGAGAGTGGTCAGGACTGCAAAGGCCTCTCTGAAATCAGTGCAACAAAAACAAATGTGCAGCTGCTACACCTAGTGGATGTATGACAGAGCTGCAGGACCGTAAGAGATGAAGAACAAGGCTTATGACAGTGGAAGATTTAGTGAATGAAATGTAACAACAAAAAATGAAGTTCTCCCCACATGAGAAAATAAATTCAAATGGACCATCTTTGAAGGACAAGAAACAAAGAGTTATTAATGTTCCTACTGTCCATTTACAAAAGTGTGGAAGAGACTGTCTATGAACATAAATAATAAAAGAAATAGAGGGCAAAATCTACAGCCATGGTCCTTTTCAAAATGGTTTTGTATCAAATTCAGGGAAAAAAATCATTCATTTAGAGAGATAATACTCTTTGGTAACACTTCAAGAGCCGTCACTTTGTAACTTTAGAAAATGAAACATGTACAGTTTTTGAAAATGAAGATTGCCAAAGTTTTATCTTTGAAAAATCAAGGGCATTTTCTTCGTTTTGTCCACCACCTTCTTCACTGGAAAAGTGTTAGGAACGAAAAACTTCACGGCCAGTATGGAGAGCAACCAATAACTTCAATGGGGAAAACATTGAACAAACAACTAAAACGCCAATAGTGATAATAATAATAATAATGTATTTATATAGCACCTTTAAAAACACAGGTTTAATAGTAAAGTTAGGTCTCATTGAGCCCATCTGGATCATTTCTCTGACTATTAGCCTGTGAAACTTAGTTTAGTGTTGGAGCTATTTAGTGTTCTTAGAATTAGTTTTGTATTTAGTTTTCTAATATTTGGGTGATGTTGTTTATTTAGTTATTCTACATGTTTTATTTAGAATAGATATTTAGGTTTCTTTTGCTAGTTATTTGTTTAGTAAATTTAGTTTTGTATTAGTATTTTTGTTAGGTATTTTGGGTAACACTGTGGGCACCCAAGATTATTGGGTGCCCACTAAGTAAGATAAGTAAGAGGCAGGTAGAGGACCGGCATGCACCTGGGTGAGCCTATTGTTTTTTACAAGAGAGGCGGGAGGATTCATGATTTCTTTGTTCTTTTGTTTGCTTTCTTTTGAACCAAATAAACCACCAACAAACCGCAGATCTTTTGCATGGACATTGGATTTCTTTTGCCTACGTACATCACATCCCCCATGGTGCATCAGTGGTCATTTGATTATGTTTGATATCAGTTTATTTAGGTTTTTTTTTATTTTTGGACAAATAGCCACTACATTTAGTTTAACTAATATTTATATAGCTTCTCATGCTTAATTTTTAGAGGCAACATCTTTATTCTTCATAATCTGTGCACTGCACCCCTTCGAGCAGTGATGATAACTCCTTCACTAAGTCTTTGCTTTAAAAACTTCTGAAACCAGAGAGCGGTGTTATTGGGCAATCAAAGTAATGAAGTACCTCACTATCAGCTTTCTGCTGGGTTCATATCACATTGGAGGAAGCAAATGGACGGTGAAATATGTGCTGATGGTTTACAAGAGATCCCAAAGTTTGCAGCATGAGAAAGTAAGAGAGAGAGAGAGAGAGAGAGAGAGAGAGAGAGAGAGAGAGAGAGAGAGAGGCCATAAAATGTGCTGTGTTCTTATCATTAAGTCAAAGCACTATTTCACACAGTTTTAACATCAGAACTGAGGGACAAGGACAATTAACCATGTGACTGCACACAAAGTTCAAATAGTTCATTTTAAGTAAGCGCTTAAAGAGAAACAGTTCATATCAAAACAATACATCTCAATGTCTGTGAAATCCCGGAGTAATATGTAAGCACATGTTCTCAATTGAGGCCATGTGAGACATGCTATTTGCAAAAAAAACCAAGATTTTTTTCAAACACAAATTTCACATCTTAATAGGAAGGACGGCTGAATAAATAATCATTAAGCAAAGCCACCTTCCGGCTCACGCAGCCCAGTCAGCGTCTACCCATTCTCTGCATGCAATGGATCATCTGCATGTGAGCTACAAGAAGCACAAGAAGCCTTTACAATATTACACCTTTCCATATCCAGTGAAAAGCTCTAAAGCAGATTAGAAGGCTCAACGATTCGACTAATGTGTTTTAGTTCATCACACACAGCTTCCTTACTTAAAACGTTCCTTGATGAGTGGATACAAGAATTCTAATGCAGTTTTTTCTAAAAGATAACCTGACTGTAACACCAGGATGAACCCAATGTGTAGTTCTTTACCCTCTAAAAACAATGTGCCTAAGCTGCCCTGTAACATGTCAGTGAGCATGCAGCTCAAGAGAACGATCAAAACAAGTTCTTTACTTCACACATGTTAAGCATGCTGCTATACACCGTCTTTAGTCCTATAAGAGGTTTGCTGTTTGGACCACTAATCAGCTTAGAGTTCTCAAAACAAAATGGGTTTGTTCATAAATGAGTCTGATTTGACATGCACGCTCTAAACGCATGGAGGGTTCTGTCTCCTTTTGTTTTTCTAGCACTATGTGTGTATGTGATCGAGAAGCACAGAGAACCAAAGGAATGAATCAGCTTACACTTTTAATGTCAAAAAGTATAGTTCATCATAATATACCTGATTCTAATGTCATTTGAGAATGTTTTGAGTTTAAAGTAAGTATTGACTTGACAACAGTTTCCATGAGCAACATGGACTGGAAAAACTAGACATTGCTGCACAATAACTCACACCGCAAAATGTTTTATAGACAGTAAAGGATTCATAATCAGACTCTTTAACAGCATCACCACCTCATGACTCATATCAATAATGCTATACACTGTGTGTGATTTTATTAACAATAACTCTTTCCACAAGTGGAAGTGTACATACCTTGTAATATTCTATTATTGTATTTTTTCTCTGATGTACATATGTTTGATTTTTAACTTCTTGTTATTTTTGATAATTATATTCCTGTTTCTTGAGCTGTTGTTACAAAAAAGTTTATCTTTATAATCTCAGTGTTTCAACCAAATTGTCTTAATCAGGTGACATGTTTTTGTTTGTTTCATTTGTATCACCGCACCGTTTTATTCTGCAACAAACATATCTGGTATTTAGGACAACAGTCAAATAAGAGATGGCTTTATCGATTTATTTTTAATAGTGACTCGTGCTGAATCTGTTCAGTCAAACCGGATGCTGAAAAAGGTGTCTGCATCCTCAACACATTATTAGCTTATAAGTAAAAAAAGGCTGATTGTTAGTTAAGACCAGCTAGGATCATGAATCTCTGGATCCACTCTAGAGTCCTACATCGAGTCTTCCCAGAGTCTCCTACAGTCTCACATCACTGTTAGCCACACTCCCTCTTCTTTTGATGACACGTTCAAATCAACAGCACGATGAACAACACTGCTTCCTCTCAGGTGAGATGGAACAGGCCGACCTGGGAGGCGTACATGGCCAGATGTGAAGCAGGAAGAAGGGGGCTGCAGCTCAGTCGGAAGGGTGCAGCTGGTCCAGCCTGCGGGTTCACACTTAGTGGGAAACTGAAGGAGGAGAAGCCGGGGTTGAAGAGAGCTTTGAGGCCGATTATTTTCAGTTTCTCCAACTCGGCCTCCTGGAGCCTCTTGGCTTTGGCTCGTCGGTTTTGGAACCAGATTTTGACCTGGGTCTCAGACAGCATCAGGGAGGAGGAGAATTCAGCTCGTTCTGTGATGGACAGGTACTGCTTCTGATAAAACTTTCTCTCCAAGGCCAGCAGCTGCATGGTGGTGAACGGCGTGCGAGGCTTACGGTGGGTTTGGTGCTTTCTCAACGAGCAGACTGCTGGACTGAGCTGCCCTGGAGGACAGAGGAGAGGTGTAGATAAAATTGGGTCGAGAAAGCGGTATACTTTGTAATATGTTTTTTTTTAATTAAAAAGGTAAATAAAGCTGGATAAGGGCTGAATGATGGATGAGTCAATTAATCATAAGTTTCATTATGATCAATCAATTAATCAGAAAAAAAGGTTAGACCTTTCTTGTTGGCTGTTTCTTAAAATGATTGCTCTCTGGTATCATTAATACTAAACTTTTAGACTATACATTTAATTAGCCTATTAAAAACAAAGAAAAAAAGCTTACATTTCTCTAAAAATGGAGGTCAGCTATATTCATGAACCGAACATCACCTTTAATCATTTAATAAAAAAGAAAGAAAACAAACTAGTATATTGATGTTTATAAATTGATCAGGTGATTAGAAAATCACTTCAATGTGTAAAAGTTTTGAACGTGCAGCCAGATCCATACAGAGATCATTAACATCTTATATTTAATTCTTCTCAGACTCAGACGTTAATCCTTTAAATGGGTTATTTATCAGCAAATCCATATAAAACACTTACGTTGCGTCATCTTCTTCTTCATGGGGTTGGATGTCAAAGACACAGAGCCCCCTCGTCCTGATGGCTCCGATTTGATAGGTTTTAGTTTGTGGAAGACCTCCTCCTCCTCCCTACAAATGTGATGGTCGCTCATGAGGTGACCTCTTCCCTCTTTTCTGTCCGTCACCAGCGCCTCATCCCTCCAGTCGCCACAAGAAGACATGCTTTCGTTTTAAGTAAGGCTTTTTCCAATTCAGATCCCAAAAACACACGAAGGGGAGAACATGAAGCGTCCAGACGTTGATAAATCCGGGGAGGAATGTCAGAGTATGCACTTAAAAACAGTCGGCCAAATGTGATCTTTGAAAAACTTGTAGGGAGGTACTCGGGACTTCTTTGAGCCAAAAAAAATGTGTCCTGATCCGGGGGTTTGGGGAAGACTTGTGATTGGACGGTGTGTTTGGAAAGCGCTCTCTGTGGTGCCACACCCCAAACAGCAGGTCAGCTGCACATCAGCTTCATTCAACAGCAGTTTGTCTGAACAGATTTGCTTGAAAACAAACCACGAGGATTTATTATAATGACTTAAGAGTAACAGGTCGTGTTTTATTTGTTCTGCAAACTACAAAGATTTAGTTCACATTGAAATCAAAGTAAGAATAGTCTTACTATGTTTTGTCTCAAATGAATGAAGTTCTGTTATTGGGCAGAAAAAAACACATTATGTTATCTCTCAGCTCCATCTTTAAACTAAGCTTTAAAGGATTATCCAGACTGTCTCTGCATGAGCATCACCACGATGAAAGCATCCGTATAACATCTGAAGAGCTCCATAATTCAAGCTCATACTCGCAGAACCTGACACAACAATCATGGGAGTAATCACAATGGTAATCGATAAGCATGCACACACTTTAATGTGAGAGTCAGTTGAGAGAAGGATTATGGTTTAAGGCCGGCTTTTCAAATGACTGTCATTACATTGTTATTATTAACACCTTGTAATTAGGTCTTTGGGATCCGGTTCTTTTGAGCAGGATTTAACGGTAATGATGGAAAATTGCTACCTTCCTGAGGTGAGTGGCGCCCACTGCGATTATTCCCAGTCTCGGCTCTGTCTCGTGCCCGTTTGAAACATCATGAGACAGGCACAACAGCAGCTCTAAACATGGCCTTAAATGTAATGTAATGTAAGATCCTGAAGTCCAGCCAAAAGGCCATGGATGTTAAAACAAAGAGAGAATCAGATAAAATAATATCAGACTAAGTTATAAAGTTCAATCAGCCAAAAGCAATGTGCAGTCTGTCCTTGTCTGTTGTGTGTGTGTGTCTCACACACAGATGCCCACACGTATGAAAGTGTGTCCAGAGCTCTGTGATCCTCCCTCAGAGAGTGTGTGTGCTGTGTGTAATCAGCAGGATTACAGTGGTAACAGAGCCTCGACATCATTAGCCTCCATATCCAACAAACTGCTCAAACACAGCATGAGCTTACTGTCCTGGAAACACATGCATTTAGGACCCTGTGTGTTATTTCAGTGTGCTTCCTGTAGTTTCACAGACGCCATGTGAGTGTTTTTTCTACACAAATTTAATGAGATATACATGTTTATTTACATATCTACAAATCCTACTGGCTAGAAATAACTGTGCTTAAACACAGCATGATGGCTTGAGTATTGACAATGGTAAAACTAGATGTTATTTACATATAGGATATCGGACTTTAGAAGACAAGTGCCCTCAAATCATCTCCATCGTCAGGCTGTTCAGACGAGATGGAAACAGCTCCTTGTATGTTATTATAAAGTACAATTCTTAGTTTAAAATATACCACCTGACAGTTGTTGCTGCTAACTGTTTGTTTGTGAAGCTAGCACAATGCTATGCTGGTTTTACTACAGATTTGTGTAGCCTTACACATAATGCCAACAACAACAAGAAAACTATTTATTGTGATGAAAAAAATATCAGAATCAGTATCAGCATCGGACCAGAACTGAAAAAAGTGGATCATGCATCTTTAGGTAAAACTGGATATACATATAGTATATCAAGTTGTCATTTTTTTAAAGGTCACATTGTACAAAAAAAAAACAGAGTAACATTCTGCTGTCATGACAACTGAGTTAATTGAGTTCTAACCTATGGAAGCACATTGCTGCCACATTTGAATATATTAATAAGATAAATAAGTAGCAGTTGTTTTTTTATTTCATTGTCAGTTGAACTGAAATGTTTAAGATGAATTAGCTGCTCCCATACATTCGCAGATCAGAAGTAGGCAGATTTTGAATAGAAGACAACCAGGCAGCATTAAATGATCTCACAAACTTTAACCAGCATAATCAGTCTTCTACGTCCAAATAGCCACCGATGACTTAGCGCTGAGATACTTCTTCTGAGTCTATCATCCAATTACTGAGACGACGACCCACAGGGGGAGTGACTGATGTTCAGGTCTGACTCACTATTGGTTTGGATACTGCTTAATGAGTGGTATCCCATATGTCGGCAATCTATGTTTTTACACCAATAATACAAACTCTTGGTTCTCCTCGTTTCGGAGGCAAACTTCAATGAGGTGACACTAAAATCTAGGTATCGTAATTGGTATGGGTAAAAAAATTTACGTTACGTGTCTTTACAGCTAAAGCAAAGGTTACAGAGTCGAGCAGGCCAGAGTGCTAAACCACAATAACACTGCTCTCTACTGCTTCATTTCACCTGCATTACTTTGCTACTAACATTTGGCTGAAGTCTACAGTTTGCAAATATAAAAGGCTTGTTAAAGAAACTTTATCTTAAAGGGGACATATTATGAAAAATCCACTTCTTCAGTGTTTTTTAACGTATATTTGGTAACCTGAGTGTCTACTGACCCACAAAATGTGAAATAAATCCATCCAGTTCTTTGTTTGTTGTCTGCATAAGTCTTACAACACAGAGAAAAATGCTCTGTTTTAAATGTGCTCTCCTTGTGATGTCACAGTGGGATTCTGGTAAAAAAAAATCCCCTCCCCTCCCCTGGTATCTCCACCCATGGACTCCACCCCCAGCCTGGAAAAGGGGGAGAATATGTCCTCCTTATTGAAGATCCACATGCATTTTGGAGGCAAAATCAGCAGCCCGGGCATATTTTATCTAAAGCTGTGAATGCTCGGAAAGGGTGATAAGAAGTGACTTTATACAGAAAACAGAAGTTTGTGCTCCTCCACAGGCGAATCAAGGCTGAATCTCATCCACAGACAATCTTCCTAAAGTTTATTCACACTGCTGTCAACCTGCATGCCTTCAGATAAGTTTTGTAATATATAAAAGCTTACGTCTCCCAAAACTGTTTATTTACTGAAGCATTGTGGTTAGAGTACTTCCTTTAACTCGTTCTTTATAATAACGTATGTGGTTGTGTCTCCCTTCAGTCAAAAGTACAAAAGAGACGATCATCCCTTGTTTCCCCTGAAGCTAATTTATATTAAAGTTTAATCAATGTCACCATTTGAACTCAGGATCCACAGTGGGAACAAACAAACTCATGTTTTATAGATACCCTGTGATTCACTGACAAACACAGTGCATGTTTTTAACCCAAAAATAAAGGAAAACTTTTGCAATTTTATTTTCAATAACAAAACATACTTTTATCCAATGATAAACATCTAGCAACAAATACAGCATGTCTTACAAAGACAAAAAGATCTGCATGTATGTGGTCCAATATTTCTGCCATGATTGCCTCTGGGACTGCATGTCTGAAATCTGAGATAAACTGATAAAAGAGTTTAAAATATTAAGAGAAGCTTGGGATTACACTTTAACTTTTACAGATTTAATGTAAATGTGGAATCATTGTGATCGACGCATGGAATAAAAGTGAGCTAATACAGAAAGTCAACACATAAACTGAATTATGAACTTAAGTGGCTTTATACTTAAAGGCCTGATTATATACATTCAGTATGTGTCCACAAGCGCAATCTGCAACGGATGAGTGGCACCGTTAAACTCGGCTTTGCAGGCTTCTGGACGCAGTGATTACACTGTGGTGAAATCAAACAACAGGTTTAACATCATCCTTCCAATAAACCTTTTGCAGTTTACCTCACTGAAATATCAACCATATCCAACAATAGAAGGACTACCTATGCTTTACCCTGATTAGATCAGATTATTTCATATGTAATCTATTTGTTACTTATTGTCATGTTTCATGTTTGCCAACTTTCAGAAAACTAAAACCTTTAGACCTTGCTGCAAAAACTTTTCAGTGTCTATTGCCAATTTCCAATTTCCAATTTCAACGTTTATGACAACTTTACTAGGTGTTGACTTTTTATATTGAACAGCCCTAAAATTATATATTTATGCATGAAACTATTCATAATTAGGGTGTGTGCTGCTTTGAGTTACAGCTGGGAGCTGCCATCTGTCTGCAGGTGTAACCTACTCTAGAGGCAACTGACACATCCGGTTTTTATTGAATCATTTTTTAAATGTTTTTTATTGCGAATACCAAACAAACAATTTGGCTCTGTGTGGTTTATTGTACCAACAAACTTTAAGTAAGTCTGGTCTCTAGTTTCTTTATTGAGTGGAGAGAAGTAGAGAAGCCTGTAGAGAAGGCCATGGTGATGTGTTGACGGGTTTATTTTATTTACTCCATTCTAGCTACAATCTCAGGATTCTTTTGAGAAAAATGAATAAACATCAATGGTCCTCTACAAATCTACAGTATGTCATAATGATAAATTAAGGGTTATTTCATCTTAACGTGATACACTAACAAATCACAAAGGTCTGAAGAACCTCTAAAGTGAACACTGTAGATATGAGTGCCATTTAAATTAAAGACATATTTTAAATTCACCTTTGGGTTTGGCTATCAACATTCAATATACTACATAATTATGTGATCATATGACAGATACAGACGTGCTATGAGTGAAACAAGATTAAAGAAAAGCACGTAGACCAAGTTTGGCTCACATCATGGTCTCCATCTGTATAACATGCTTTATATTCTCCAGTCTGAAGAAAAGCTAAGCCATGTGTTCCCTCTCTCCCTGCAGATGCCACCAGTGCTTAAAGAGACACATTAGCGTAACGCTTCACAGCAGTTTGCTCCCAGCCTGCTCGGGGATGTTGCCTGTTAACTCAATCAAAGCTGATGAAACTCTGTGAAAGCCTGAGTTCATTTCACACCTGAACTCTGTCTGACAGGGAAAATAATTAAAATGCTTTTAAGGAATTTGTATCTGTCTGAAACACATGGGGCAAAATGATGGGAACAGGGGGCGTTTTCTTATTCATATTTGACTTTAGGTGTGTGCTCATATGCTGTCATAACTCATACTATCCTCCCCTTGAGTTAACTTTACAATAGGCAAGGTCTATTCCAACCCACTGTTACATTAATCCTTTACTAAAGAAGGTATTTTCATTGAAGACTTACTAAGATATTCTTGATTCTTGACACTGCTCTCAAAGAGTCCTATCCAGAGGAAGCTATGTATCGCATGCAGAACAGAAAGGCCTCCAAAACTCCACTGCTAAGAGTTATATATATCTACTACATCATTCTTGAAGTGCATTTAGAATTTGTATTCAGTCTATTAAAAGTATATAGATGCAGGTGGAGACTCTGGGTCACCAGGTTATGATAGACAGTGTGACTTCTTACTCAGTTCTCAAGTAAAACAGGTTTCAGTTTTGCTGATGATGTGAGAAGGTGGCTGAGTAAAAATGATGGAACAGGTTGTTATGTGGCAAAGCTGGCCTGCTTTGATTGGACAGCTGGTTGTTGGTGCCAGAGTGTACAACAGTGTATAGCTCTAAAATCTGCTCAGGTTTCTCACACAAAGTCATTTGAGTCTGACGTGGTGCAGTAGGTGTTAAAACAAAATGAATCATCCATTGTCATTTGAAAGAAAAGATGTTAAACCAAACATCAGTCTAACCTCAGAGAGCGGCTAAGAATTCAAGTGCAGCTTTTAAAAACAAGAGATGTGAAGACAAAGACAACTTCATGTGAAAATTCATTCACAGATTGGTCCAAACGATTGCTACTCCACCACATGCTTTACATTTTATACAGCACAGTGTCTTTTATTGACACTGTTCCTGCTGAACGCTCTGTTTTCTGAACAACAATACCACGTTGTGTCAAACAGCACAACATCCAGGTCATGTAAACAGCGCAGCAAACTGCTGGTCAACAAGCTTCACAGTGCTGTGTGGAGGTACATCTGTCTCCTGTTCAGACCGCAGCTTTGATTTAAAAACATCACTGTTCTAACTGAACATCACCACCCGAACACACAGTTATCTTCAAAGATGTAAAAACCCTTTTAATAAGCCTTCTGTTTACTGATACAAAACCACCACCAGCTCTTCAGTCTGCAGTCTAAAATATGTCACTGAAAGAGAGTTCAAGTATCTCCAGTTTTCAGTGTTCACACACGATGGATCTAGCGCAGAAAGATTAGAGCACATTGCTTATGTTGTCACTTTAATGACAACACAACAATGTGTTTAATGCAGTAAAATAAAGAGATGTATATACGTATAATGAAAGGGTATAACAAATGATTAGAGGTCGTTAAGCCACATTTAGTATTACACCGCTGCGTATGAAAGCACTTCCCTGAACTTTAGTGAGGCTGCCATGTTGTGAAAAAAAATAAAAAAGTGCCCTCTGAACACAGAGGCAATGAGGCACATCGATCAAAACAAGGAAGTGCAGAACAGTTTAAAGTAAACGGTCTGTGGCTGAGCAGTAATTATTTCACAGAATAAATAATCACAGCCACATGCTGCTCTTAAGTTGATTTCCTTATAAATCAGGATAAAAGTAAAACACTTTAAACCTCTGGTGACAGACGCATCCCTGTAACCTTCGCTGAACAAGTTATGGTATCAACATTTTATTTTTTATTTCATCACCTTTTGCTTATTGATGAGAAACACTTTAACTGATTGACCCCTGATTCAGCAGATTCATTCAAACAAAACACAAGTCATTTCATATCTACTCTGACATCATCATCAGTTTTCTTTGTTTACATCTGACTCAGCTTTTGTAACCATGACGATTCACGGTTAGAACAAACTAGACTCAACTTTTTTACCATGGAGTAAGTAGTCTTTAATTTCTACAGGCACAACTATGAAACATTAAAGTATTACACAGTGAAAAAATAAAGGACTGCCTTATACTACCATTAGACTTAAACTGAAGAAGTCTAGTGTATGAAGTCAACATGACGAAATAGATGTTAATGGAGGTGGCGCCCTCTGGTGGATAAATAAGAGTTTTATTTGAGCCATTTAATGGTGATTACCTCATGCTAATGAACCGTGTGTTGTGTTGAATGGTTACGCAACATTGAAGTTTTGTTCTTGTGCAACAGATATTTATGTATTTTGATCAAGGTGATAAAAGTATTATTTACATTTTAACTTAATACTCTGTCAACTTGTTGTGACTGAGGGGGACAAATCATGTACTCTTTACTCGTCTGTAACAGTCTCGCTCTACACTGAAGAGAAAAACCTTAACTCATATATAGCACATGCAGAACAGCCTGAGATCTTTAGATAAAAAGGGAGGTTGACTGGTTGCTTGCTGTGGTCAGATGAGAAATTGTAAAGGTGTTGGGTGCTCTTGGAAAACAACATGTCATACATAAAAGAGTGGGAAACCAGGCACAAACAAGAAAATGTAAAAGATGAGGAAGGAAATACTTAAAATCTAGGATTTTTAAAATGATTTAGCCATCATGATCCTTCCATTTTTACATGTTTCTTGCTATGAGTGCCTGGTTACCTCTTTATTGTGTATAGCCTAAAATCCTTATTTACAACATAAAGAAATAAATCAGACTCTCTGGAATAAAAAAAGAGAATATGGACTATTTTAATACATTAACACAGTTTAATGAACACTTAGTAAAAACTGTATACAAGTAATTTTCTTTTTGGTCTCATGCCAAACACCAAACAGAACAACCAAATTGTAACACAAATGTTTTTTTTAGAAACTAAAGGTTCCACTGTTTAGAACTAGGATGTGCAGAAACTCTGATTATGTTTTCTTCTTAGATAAAGTAACAGTATGTGACCTGCTGTGGCTGTGGGTGATCTCAGTCAGTGAAGACTGTGGATCAGGCTGAGGGCTGCCACTCTCTGTCTGATCAGCTGGTTCTCCTCCAGCATCCTAGAGATGGTCCTCACAACTGAGAGTTTTGCCTGTCCAAGGCAAAGACATCGGCAGGCTCGGTCCAATATCAATATGACACACACAAAACCCAAATCATTTCTGGTGACACTGCAAACCATTTGTTAAAGTGCCTCAACAACCATGACAAATATACTGTATGAATGGAAGTACCATGCTTTTTTACACTTGATGCTGTGGCATATGAAAATGTCACAGATTAATTTGACTTGTATACGCTAGAATCAAAGTAACAGTTTGTATTGTTTTGTTTTTAAATATGACATTAACAGGTTATTATGTAATGTGTCCATCAGTATTAACTAATCCCATTTATACACTTTCACACGCTCCAGTCATGTTGATCTGGGGTTCAGTGTCTTTCCAAAGGACACTTCGACATGTGGCAGCAGGAGCTGGGGATCGAACCAGTGCATTGTGGGTTGAATTTGGCCGTCTGTAAACAATGTCACAAGGGTTTTGCCGAGCATGGCAAAGGTTAACATTTCTGACAACAGCAGCCTTCAGTCCTCAGTCCTTATCACCATTTTAGAGATGAAAATAGGCTACTGTCAAACTGTGCCACGCTACGGGTTGCCGACTTCAGTGTGTTCATGTGTTTTCAGTTTAAGAAAGTCTGAATGTTGTAACAACAACAACAGACAGTGTGCATGGTATATAGACGATGTGTGTAATTTTTTATGTAACAAGTGATATTAAAGCAAAACGTTGATGTGAAATATGTGAATTAATCTATTAAAAAGTATCTTAACATTAACCCCCCCATGTTAATGAGTAATATGTCCACAAGTCGGGCACCTTATTCTTTTCCCAATTTCAGACTTGTTGTTCAAACTTTAGCAGACTTTTTCCGACTCGGAAACTAATTTTCTAGATGTGTCTGACACCATGTGAATGCAGCTACAGACCCTACTAGTGACGCGTGGCTGCGGTACACAACATTTGAACGGCTTTGGTGCGCTTGACAGAGTGCAGTCTGAAAGCAAACCCCTGAACCGCACGAGTCCACCAAACTCTATATGTGAAAGCGACCTTAGTAATCATGTTAATTCTGTGTTTTAATAAACATTTGGCCTAAATTGATTGACATAATGCCATGTGTGTGTGCCATGCCGCTGAAACCCTTTCCAGTTGAACTTTTATGAACTGCAAAGGTCCTTGAGTGTTTTTCAATAAGTCCATGTCTTCTACTGACACTCTTTGTTATTTCACATTTTAAAACGTTGCATCGGGCTTACCTTTTCCTTCTCGTTCATTACGTTGCTGGTTGGTGTTTCGGGAAAAAAGAAGATGTCTCCTCCAACAGAGTCGGACTGAGTGCCAGCACCTGACAACACAGAAGACTAAATGAATTACACCTTCTGCTTACTGGTTTTACTACACAAAATATACAGTACTACTTTTTAGTAGTACTTTTAGTTGTTGCTTTGCCTGTTTGAACGAAGAAGGTCTGCGTCTCATAATTAAATGTCTGCACTTTTATTAAAAACTAATTAAAACCACAGTCATCCATTATGAAGATTTTGACCTCAGGGGTTGCAACTTTCTTGTCATAATAACGTACTGTCCTGTTTGTGCACCACAAACAAAAATGCTTTCAGTTATATCAAATCTCATGACATCTAAATAAAGATTAATATTATATTAGAGGTACCAAGCTTGTCCAGCCTGTGAACCACACAAGGCTTTGTGAGGCTCATTGCATTGTTTGGATAATCAACTAAAGTGTGATTATGGTCTCAGTTTGTTTTGTGGGTGAGTTGCAGAGTCATACAGATGAGAAAACAGCTCAAAACTACAGGAGAAAGAAGAAATAGTTTGTATCCATGTATTTAGACAGGAGCTATTTGCAAGGATCAACAATAAAAAACTCAAGTTAGCATAAAAGCTAACTGTAATGCTCAGTATTTTCATCATCTGTGCTCATTTTTCAGGAGTTACTCAATAAAAGCTTCCTGCTAGCTAACCAGCTACTAGCGTCAAGGCTAACTTAACGAGCTAACATAAACTAGCATAATTAAGCTACCATGTTCGTCCACTTGTTTCTTCTTGTTTCCACCTCCTCGACTCTCAGAGCTCTTGGTTGACTTTGCTGTAGGCTCTAACATCAATCTTCCAGGTGCTTCATCTTCCTTTGACGCCTTCTTGGACTTTGGCAATTTGACTTTCAAAACTAACTTTTCCTCTTTGGCGCACTTCTTCTTCCCGCGCCCGTCCTTCCCGCGCTGAGAGGACTGCTGCTTGCTTTCTTCTTCGTCTCTCCCACTCAGCTGTGAGCCAAACCTGGGTACAAACACAACCTTAACGGGAGGCATCTTTCTCTTTTTTGACAGCATCTTCTACACAATATGACCGGCACACCTTTTATTTGTGTGACTTTATTTTAATAGTGTTCAAAACGGTGTTTGTAGCTGTCAGCCAGCAGGGGGCGCTGTTACCCGGATAATGTGTTCTCCAAATCACAAAAAGCCAAATTCCTTGAACTATGATTATCTCTTGTACTTTTGAAACCAATAAAAGTTTATGCTTCAGTTAGGTTAACAATATTAGCTTTCCTTAGAGACATAAGAAGAAAAAAGAAGTTGTTTCCTTGAAAAAGAATTCAGTTTATGCTTTTATTTGTATCATAAAATAATGATATAATTAAAAGTAAATGACAATAGCCCTAAGCCGA